TAGGGTTTAGGGTCTAGGGTGTCTAGGGTTTGGGGGTTTAGAGTTTAGGGTTTAGGGTTTTAGGGTTTAGGGTTTTAGGGTTTAGGGTGTCTAGGGTTTGGGGTTTTAGAGTTTAGGGTTTTGGGGTTTAGGGTCTGGGCTTTAGGGTTTTGGGGTTTAGGGTTTAGGGGTTTAGGAGTCTAGGGCTTTCGAAACCCCTAAACCCTAAACCCTTAAACCCTTAAATTAAACCCTAAACCCTAAACCCTTGGACCCTAAACCCTCAAACCCTAAACCCCTAAACCCTAGACCCCTAAACCCTAAACCCTAAACCCTGAACCCTAACACTGAACCCTGAAGACTCCTTACTACCATCCCCTAGACCCGAAGCCCCTGAACCCTAAAAAACTTCCCCTAAGATCCTCGAAAGCCTTCAACTCTAAAGGCGGCATACTATGGGTACCAGAACCTCGTTGAGTTCTTCCTCGACAAGGCCCCAAACGTGCCAGTGATGTTGCAAGGCTTCAATGTTCAGGGGTTAGGCTTTCGGTATCCTAAACCCTAAACCCTAAACCCTAAACCTAAACCGTAGGAAAAAAGTGTTCAACACAAACGCCTAATGCGTAATCCCTGAAAGGTGTATAGGGCTTGGGGTTTATGTTGGGGATTTCGGGGTTCGGCGGCGCGGTTTTTTGTAGCCCCCGGTTCGCAGGATAGACGAGTTTGGGCACAGTCTCGTCTTTCGGGGTTCGGGGGGCTGCAGGGTTTAGGGTTTAGGGTTTAGGGCTGGATTTCGGTACAATGCATGGCAACAGCCAGCACCCGAAATGAAAATCAGTTTCTGTGAGTCAGGTGGGTCGGGTGAGCATGAAAGCCGAGGTGTCGTACATCTAAATCCTGGGCTTTGGAGTACCATACTTTAATACTTTTTTGGGGGAGCTGTTCCTGAAAGGAGCGAATATGAACTCCTACGCCCTAAACCCGAAACCCTGAACCCTGAATCCTAAACCCTAAACCCCAAAAGCCTATACTTTTATCTCCCTGGTTACCTCAAAGCCCAGAATCCGCATCGAGGCAGCAGCGCTGAACATCAAACTGCGAAGCTGAAAGCTCGAGACACCAAACCGCGACTGCTACCCATAGGCCCCATAGTAGTTCCTTTTTGGGATTACCAAATAGGATCCTAAATACAAACCACAAAAGGAACTACTATGAGGCCTTTGGGTAGACCATATCAAACCTTGTGGAATCCTTACCACAGCCTCGTGAGTTTAGGGTTTTTAGGGTCTAGGGACCTTCAAACCTTCACGAAACCCTGTAGAACCTTATTCACACCTTGTAGAATCTTGTAGAAGCACGTTTTGAAACCTTATGACAGCCGAGGGCCATCCTATTGATCCGTTGGACAACTTCGGGCAGTCGCCCGGCTGAGTAAGTTCGGCAGAAAAGATTCACGTAGGGATTATAGAAACTAATACTTTGCATGTAGGGCTTGGGCTTTTTAGGGATTGCAGGATATCGGGATCAGGGATTAGGGTCACTGTTAGGATGCGGGTGTTGGGACTCGTGTTCGGGGTTCAGTTTTTGCTTCTACGTTCAACGGTTTGGAGTCGAGTAGTGTTCTAGGGTGCATAGGGTGAGCGTCAGAACCCCTACCCTTTCAGGACTCATATTTTAAGGCTTTTGGGCCCAAAGACCCTATTATATAATAAGGCTTTTGGGCTTTGCTGAAGCAGGGACGGAACTGGAGGAGCAAACGGGATGT